TTGCGAGGGCATCGACCTCGCTATTCTATTCTCGAGGTATGTGGACCAGGGTCCATTCTTTGAAGCGGTGCAGTGTGACTTGAATTTGGTCTTGGTATATTTGCATCCTGTCTTGCCGAACCTCGAAGCTCCTATTTACCTGATTTACTACCAGAAGAGAATCACATTTTGCTTCGATGACTTCTGTTCCTAGGCCTTTAGCCAGTTCCAGACCTGCAATCATAGCCTCATACTCGGCTTCGTGGGTGGCTTTTGGACTATACCGAATCCGGACCCTTTCACGTTCGAGGCGCCATCGGTGAAAAAGGTCCATACCCCTGAAAGATGTGCCCGTTTTTAGTAGAAGTTCTTTCTCTACCTCGGGCACGAGGGCTGGTGTGAACTCGGCCACAAAATCTTCCAGGATCTGGGACTTGATAGCCGTTCGGGGTTGGTAATCGATATCGTACCCCCCGAGTTCGGTCTCCAATTTGGCCAGATGAACTGACAGTCTGGGCTTATGCAATATGCTTCGGAGAGGATATGTTGTTAAAGCACAAATACGATGGAAATGGAAATAAGGTTTTAATTTTCGAGATGTACTTATTAATGCAAGAGCTAGCTTTTCTAGGTGCGGATACCTGGTTTCGGCATCTCCCAGGGTCTGACTTACATAATAGACAGGGAATTGTGTACCTTGCTCTTCTCGAACCAGTGCACCGGTTATCGCTACCTCGGACAAGCCAGGTACAAATACAACGTCTCATCCTCCTTTGGGGTGTGGAGTAAAGGTGGATTTGTCAGGTATCGCTTCAACTCCTCTAAAGCATGTTGGCATTCCGGAGTCCATTCGAAACTGTTTTTCTTTTTAAGTAGGGGAAGAAATGGTGACTCCTATCTGATGACCTTGATATGAATCGGCCCAAAGCTGCTATTCGTCCAGTCAACCGTTGCACGACCTTTACATTGTTCACCACTGTGATCTCTTCGATGGCTTTGATTTTATCGGGATTGATCTCAATCCCCTTGTTTGACACCATAAAGCCTAAGAATTTGCTCGAAGACACTTCGAGGGCTCATTTCTCGGGGTTGAGTTTCATGTTGTAGCTTCTGAGGATGTCGAATGTCTCCTGCAAATGAGTTAAATGGTCCTCTGCGCGCAGGGACTTAACTAACATATCATCAATGTAAACTTCCATGGAATTGCCTATTTGGTTTTCGAACATCTTATTAACTAGGCGTTGGTATGTGGCTCCCGCATTTTTGAGCCCGAAGGGCATTACATTATAGCAATACATACCGTACTTCGTGATGAACAAAGTCTTTTCCCTATCCTCAACCGAGTACGCATCGAGAAAGGTGAGGATCTCGTGGCCGGCTGTAGCATCGATAGCATCAATCAATCGGTCGATGTTGGGAAATGGGAATGAATCTTTGGGACATGCTCTATTCCACATTCTTAGCTTATTCCTCTTTTCGGGAACCATCACCACATTGGACAACCATTCGGGATATTTTACTTCCCAAATAGATGCTATTTTGAGGAGTTTTGTTACCCCATCCTTGATGAACGCGTGTTTTACCTCGAACTGAGGTCTTTTTTTTTGCTTCACCAGTTTGAACCTGGGGTCGACACTTAGTCGATGGGTGGTTATTTCCGACGGGATCCCTGTCATATCTAAATGGGACCATGCAAAGCAATTGATGTTATTAATAAGGAACTGGATGAATTTTCTCCTGAGTTCGGGGGTTAATCCTGTTCCCAGGCATACCTTCCGATCTGGGAGATGCTCGATCAAAACGGCTTGTTCCAGCACTTCAACCGTTGATTTTTTTGTATCTTATTCTTCGAGGAAATGAAGGTTCGGGGGGCCAGAAAGTCTTCTTCATCGTTCTCGGGGGACTGTTTGTCCTCCGGCTCCTCTGAGGTGGAGGGTATCGAGGTAGGTGGCTCCTCATGAACCGCAAACATCTCCCTCGCCGCATGTTGTTCTCCATATACTGTTTTTATACCATCTTCTGTTGAAAACTTTATCTTCTGGTGAAGAGTTGACGGTACTGCCCTCATGTTCTATATCCATGGTTTTCCAAGTAATGCATTATATCTCATGTCACCTTCGACGACATGAAACTTTTTGTTTCGAACTGTATCAGACACGTTGACCGGGAGGGTGATCTCCCCGTTCGTTGTTTCACCAGCCATGTTAAAACCGCTGAGGACTCGGGAGGGGGTACGATTTGATCGAGAAATTCGAGCTGCTCCACCGCCTTCTATTTGATTACGTTGTCCGAGCTACCTAGATCCACGAGTACACGTTTAATTTGAATGTTATTCAAGAGAAATAAAATTACCAGTGCGTCGTTATGGGAATGAGGTAGGGTCTCGAAGTCCTCTTCACTGAAAGCAAGGATGTCCTCGGGCATGCGGCCCCGGATTTGTCCTTCCGTTTCGACGGAAACCTTTGCCCGCTTGATCACGAGTCCTTGGGGAACGTCGGTCCCTCTAATGATCATATGAACAACGTGCTGGGGTGTTTCCGTTCCGTTTCTCCCGTCTGCCTCTCTTTCTTCTCGAGCTGGATTTTTCTGAGCTCTCTGTTGGCTCTCTTTGCGTATACTCCTATTGGTATGAGAGCTTATATCGACATGTTGGGTATTTCATGAGGCCATGTCCACGGGAATTGGTCCTGGTGCATCCTCAAGGTTTCGTGGTGGTACACCAATACCTGGAACAACTACACAATTCTCTCCACGGTCCTCAGAACCGTTGTCTCCTGTGCATTCACTGAGTTTGACATTTTGACCTGAAATCACAGATTCTTGGACAAGAAAAAGGGTGAAAGATAACTTGCGTTATGTATTAAACCAGCAAGAAAACAATCACAATTATTTTTAGCCCCACGGTGGGCACCAAACTGTTTACCTTCAAAATGGTAATTACAATTAGATTTGATTTTGTAGTTCTAAAAATATGTGATTTATTTTAATACTAGTTATTAAGCAATGGATGCTAAGTGTGAGTTTAGAAAATAGGATAAGAGCTTGAAAATAAAGTATTAAACAAACCGAATGGTCCAGACTCGGCGCCTCAAGCTGGAAAATATGGGGCCTCGAGGTTGAGCTAGGCGTTAGACTCTTGGCCGGTCGGTGGAGAACTAACAGTTATAAAGGCCTTGATGAGGCCTCTTTATTATCATAATGAACAATAAATGAAGAACAATCACTGAACATACAATAAACGTAAGCAATAAATGTAAGTAATAAGATGAAAAGAGAATATGTTTAAGTTAGAGAGCAGAGAATGTTCTTGTTCTTGTATTCAATGTAGTGTGTTGTCCCCTTATACAAAACAGCAAGGTTCTCCTTTATATAGGAGGGGAAACCCCACCATAATACATGAGTAATTATTAGAAAGAAAATATAGCTGGTACAGCTATTCGCTAGTTTTGGTACAAAATAGTGCTTCTCTTGCAGGTTTTGTCGGCTTTGATCACGCGCCTTGGGAACTTTCCGCTCGCCCACGATAACCATCAATTTGCACCGCCCCTAGGTCGGTCATAAAGGATCCTCGAGGACGAACCCCGAGTTGTGCCTCGGGCCTTCAAGGTGAAACTTCAGCGAGGTACAACGGTCGTAAAATCGGGCTCTCCGATTTTAGCCGCGTACAAAAGTTTATTCGGAAGGAATACTGAGATTATTACATATTTTTCATGCACTTCATTCATTTATACATGTGCATTGACCCATGACCAGATGGTGTTATATACCCGTATTTATATGTATATGTATACATGTATATGGGATATGGGAAAAAGGTTACGGCGTTATATACGCACAAACACCTGATCAGTTAGTATATGTTGATGATGTTGCCCACAGTGGCCGAGACGATATGATGGGATGCCCTCAGAGGCTTGATGATATTCTGTACACCTATACCTATGCATGACACAACATTAATATGCACATGCATGACATTATAAATGTTTCAGGATTTATAAAGTTATTCAGATTTATAGATAGATTTCTTTATTCCATGTTTCATCTATGTCTCTTATGTACTGATTTTCATGACTTACATACTCAATACCTTATTCGTACCGATGCCTTATTTCCTGGGGCCTGCGTTTCATGCCCGCAGGTGCAGGTAGGCAAGTCGACGGTCCCCCTTCTTAGGATCCTTGATCAGCGAGAGTTGGCATGCTCCACTTGATCTGGAGCTGCTTTTGATTTTGGTACGATATATATATATATATATATATATATATATATATATATATATATATATATATATGGGTATGATGTGGCTTAGTCCCATCTTTGTACAATTGTATTTCTATTAGAGGTCTGTAGACAAAGGTGTACAGTTGGATAGTATGTGGCCTTGTCGGCTTTCGGTTTTGGGTATATAGTTGTCTATCGCGGCCTTGTCGGCTCGCCCACTGTAATCCGCACGTATATGTATATATTTCTTTTGGACAGGTTTTCCTCGTGCATGTTACTCTCGTAATTCAGCAGATATTATTCATGTTTATATCTTAGTTGCATGCTTAAGTGTGTTCGACAGGTAGGACTCGGGCACTCGCGGCCCATCGGTTTGGGTCGTGACAAAAGTGGTATCAGAGCAGTTCTGTCCTAGGATTGTCTACAAACCATGTCTAGTAGAGTCTTGTTTATGGGTGTGTTGTGCACCATACTTACAGATAGGAGGCTACAGGACATATAGGATGTTTCCTCTCTTATTATCTTAGATCGTGCAATATAAGGATTCATGTTCCTAACGATATGCTATATTTTCAGCGATACCTCCAAAGAGTACAGCCGCCCAGAAGGGATAGTCTGTGGTTGGCGAGACTAGTAGTCGAGCGCCACGAGTTACCAGGGCTCGGAGAGAATCTCATTGTGAGATTCCATCTCAGACTTCACATACCCCGCCCTTTCTAGAAGAGCTCCAAGGGGCAGTAGCTCCAGCGCCTGCCCTATACATTCAGCACCTTAGCCAGATACACCGGGATCAGGAGATGAGAGATGCTATTCAGCTATTAACTCGATTAGTAGCTGCGCTGGCTCGACGTCAGGAGGTAGGTATTGGTCATGCAGATAGGTCTGTCAGTGCGAGAGTTCGTGGCTTCATTAATCTAGACCCTCCGGTATTCACTGGAGCAGATCCAAACGAGGACGCTCAAGTATTTATTGATAGAGTACAGAGGACGTTAAGGGTAATGAAGGCCACTGCGACTAAGTCAGTTGAGCTAGCTTCCTATAGACTTCGAGATGTTGCAGTTGATTAGTGTGAGTCTTGGGAATTGTCTAGAGGTGAGGATGCCCCTCCAGCAGTATGGCAAAAGTTTACAGAAGCTTTTCCTCATCATTATCTGCCACCAGAGCTTAGATGGGCCAGAGTTGATAGGTTCTTGACCCTTCGGCAGGGTAACATGAGTGTTCGGGAGTACAATCTTCAGTTTGATTCATTGGCTAGGTATGCTCCCACTATTGTATCTAAGATGGAGGATCGGGTTCACCGGTTCGTGATGGGATTAGATCTGCACTTGCTTAACGATTGTATGTCGGTCTCACTTCAGCTGGATATGAATATTTCTCGTATTCAGGCATACGCTCAGGGTGTAAAGGAGCGTAAGCAGAAGCAGAGGATGAATCCTGAGCATGATAGGGCCCAAAATAAGAGAGCGAGGTATTCGGGTCCTTCTGGTGAGTTTTGAGGTGGTCAGAGGCAACAGTACCCGAGGTATCAAGCCCAACCATCGGTTAGTGCACCCCCTCAGTTTGGTGGTAAGAGATTTGATCGTTCCACATATTCATGGTCTGGTCAGAATTTTAGGGCCTTAGGTCCGCAATATAGGGGTGAATCAAGTCAGATTTGGCCGCCCTTGCCACGATGTGCTCAGTGTGGTAAGCAACATGCTGGGCAATGCCGTATGGGATTGGGTGTTTGTTATACTTGTGGTTATCCAGGCCACGTTATGAGGGATTATCCAATGAGAGGTGATGCAAGCATGGCTTAGCCAGCAGGATCTGTAGCTGGCTCGTCATCATCAGTACGCCCCCCATGTGCATGTTTCACAAGCACCAATGAGTCGTGGTAGAGGCAGAGGCAGAGCATCTAACTCGAGCGGTCCTCAGAACTGCATTTATGCATTGGCAGGACGACAGGATCAGGAGTCATTGCCTGATGTGGTTACAGGTATATTATTAGTCTCCTCATATGATGTATATGCACTGATTGACCCAGGTTCCACCTTATCATATGTTACTTCGTTGATTGCTAGTAAGTTTGGAATAAAACCTGAATTGGTTAAACCTTTTGAGATGTCTACACCTGTTGGGGACTCAGTGATAGCTAAGCGAGTATATAGGGGTTGTATAATAGTAGTTCATAGTCTAACTACCATAGCGGACGTAATCGAGTTAGATATGGTAGAATTTGATGTTATAATGGGTATGGATTGGTTGGCTTCTTTTCATGCCAACGTTGATTGTAAATCAAAGATAGTCCGATTTTAATTTACAGGGGAGCCTGTTATGGAGTGGAAAGGTAATACGGCGTCGCTGAGAGGTAGATTTATTTCCTATCTCAAGGAAAGGAAGATGATCAGAAAGGGCTGTATTTATCACTTAGTTCGGGTTCTAGATGTGGAAGTAGAGTCACCAACCATTCAGTCCATCCCTGTAGTTAATGAGTTTTCCAATGTTTTTCCCGATGAGCTTTCGGGTCTTCCGCCAGAGCAACAAATTGAGTTTTCTATTGACCTACTATCAGATACTCATCCAATATCTACTCCTCCCTATAGAATGGCCCTCGCAGAGCTGAAAGAGTTGAAGGAACAACTAAAGGACTTACTTGAAAAAGGCTTTATCAGACCAGTACATCACTGTAGGGAACGCCTGTGTTATTTGTAAGCAAGAAAGATGGTTCCTTACGGATGTGTATTGATTATAGATAGTTGAATAATGTGACGATCAAGAATACGTACCCACTCCCGAGGATTGATGATTTAGTTTATCAGTTGCAAGGTGCCAAGTGTTTTTCAAAGATAGATTTGAGGTCCGGGTACCATCAGGTAAGGGTTAAGGAGGAAGATATTTCAAAGACGGCATTCAGGACCAGGTACAAGCACTTTGAGTTTCGTGTTATGTCATTCGGTTTGACCAGTGCCCTAACAGTATTCACGAATTTGATGAACCGTGTGTTCAGGCCCTTTTTAGATCTGTTCGTAATTGTATTTATCAATGATATATTGGTATTTTCGCGTTCAGAGGCTGAGCATGCAGATCATTTGCGTACTGTGCTCAGAGTTCTACAAAAAAGGAAGTTGTATGCAAAATTCTCTAAATGTGAATTCTAGTTGAACTCTATAGCTTTCCTTGGGCATATCATTTCGGGTGAAGGCATCCGGGTGGATACGCAAAAGATTGAGGCAGTGAAGACTTGGCCTAGACCCACAACCCCGACGGAGGTTTGTAGATTTCTCGGTTTGGCAGGTTATTACAGAAGATTTGTAGAGGGATTTTCTTCCCTTTTGGCACCTTTGACAAAGTTGACTTAGAAGGGAGAAAAGTTTCAATGGACTGATGCTTGCAAACGGAGTTTCCAGGCATTAAAGGACAAATTAACTTCAACACCGGTTCTAACGCTCCCAGAAGGAGCTGATGGTTATGTGATCTATTGTGAAGCATCAGGCATTGGATTGGGTTGTGTGCTTATGCATCATGGTAAGGTTGTAGCTTATGCTTTTAGACAACTAATAAAGCACGAAAAGAACTACCCGACCCACAATTTAGAGTTAGCCACGGTGATTCATACACTAAAGATGTGGAGGCACTACTTGTATGGTATTCATGTTGATATCTATATGGATCATAAGAGCCTCTAGTATATCTTCAGGCAAAAGGAATTGAATTTAAGTCAAAAGAGATGGTTGGAGATACTTAAAGACTATAATGTTGATATTTTATACCATCCGGGGAAGGCGAACATAGTAGCCGACGCCCTCAGCCGTAGATCTATGGGTAGCCTATCATATTTACAGCCAGAAAAGAGGGGAATAGCCCGTGAGGTTTATCAGTTAGCTAGTCTTGGAGTTCGGTTACTGGAATCAGGTGATATTGGAATTACTATTCAGGATACGGCAACATCTTCTTTAGTAACTGAAGTAAAGGAACGCCAATACAATGATCCTGTGTTAGTTCATTATAGGGATACCACCCCTCAGAAGGAGAAGACACCGTTTGAAATTACAAAAGATGGGGTCCTCAGATATTGAGGACGATTATGTGTCCCTAATGTTGCAGGGCTGCATCAGCAGGTTATGGGAGAAACTCATATTCTCGTTATTCTATCCATCCAGGAGTGACAAAGATGTATCATGATATTAGCGAAGTATATTAGTGGGACGGAATGAAAAAGTATATAGCGGAGTTTGTTGCTCAGTGTCCTAACTGTCAGTAGGTTAAGATTGAGCATCAAAAACTGCTGGATTATTTCAGGTTATGAAGATTCCGACTTGGAAATGGGAATTAATAAATATGGATTTCATCGTACGTTTACCTCGTACCCAGCGTAAGTTCGATTCGATATGGGTGATTGTTGATAGGCTTACAAAGTCAGCCCATTTTCTGCGTGTTAGGACTACATATTCCGTAGAGGATTATGCAAGGCTTTATATTAAGGAGATAGTACAACTGCATGATGTCCCGGTATCTATTATCTCGGATAGAGGAACTCAATTTACGGCTAACTTCTGGAGGTCCTTCCAAAAAGGATTGGAGACTCAAATAAATCTTAGTACAGCATTTCATCCCCAGACAGACGGACAGGCTGAGCGTACTATTCAGACATTGGAGGACATGTTATGATCATCTGCCGCTTATTGAGTTCGTATATAATAATAGCTACCTTTCTAGTATTCAGATGGCTCCATATGAAGCTCTTCACGGACGGAAGTGTAGGTCTCCTATAGGGTGGTTCGATGTTAGGGAAATTACGTTAGTAGAACCAGAATTGGTACAGCAGGCAATCGAGAAAATTAAGCTTATACAGGAAAGGCTATTAGCAGCTCAAAACCTTCAGAAGTCTTATACGGATAATCGACGGCGAGACTTGGAATTTCAGGCTGAGGTTGGGTATTCCTAAAGGTATCACCGATGAAAGGCGTTATGAGGTTCGGAAAAAAGGGGAAAACTTGGCCCTCGGTACATTAGACCATATAGGATCGTACGCAAGGTAGGCTAGGTAGCATATTAGTTAGACTTGCCTTCGGACTTGGAGTCTGTACATCAAGTTTTTCATGTGTCTATGCTCCGTAAATGTATCGGAGATCCTTCAAGAATATTGTCAGTTGACGACATTCATGTCACAGAGCATCTATCATATGAAGAAACTCCCATTGCAATATTAGACAGACAGGTTCGGAGATTGAGAACTAAAGATGTAGCTTCGGTGAAAGTACTTTGGAAAAACAACAATGTGGAAGAAATGGCTTGGGAGGCCGTGGAAGACATGAAGTCTTGATATCCCTACTTATTTCCTCCTCCAGAGAAGGGTCCAACTGAGACATCACAACCTTAAGGTACGTGTATGGATTCTTGTGTTAGTTATTGTCATTGGTCGTGTGAGGCCATTGTCATTATTGATGATTGTGGTCCTATGTGACGTTGAATTATTGAATTTCTACAGGAAGAGTTGGTAGTAATGTTGTTACAAAGACGACTCTGCCAAAGTTATATAGATCCTGGGGAGTTAAACATTCGAGGACGAATGTTTCTAAGGGGGGAAGGATGTTACATCCCGCATTTTCGTACGTAAAAGTTTCATCTTCAGTTAATCGACGTAGACTCGGGGATGAGATTATCTTAAGGTTAATGTATTTATGCTATTTATAACAAGCGATAAGTAAGTGCCGTGAAGGATATAGGGTAAAAGAATCAAGGAAAATGAGTTTCGTTGAAGGTTGTCGATTTGGGATAAAATACGGTCCGAGGTATAATACCGGATATTTATGGACTAGTACCATACAAGGTACCATATTACCACGATAGTATGATGTATAAAGTATATTAAAAATGAATACTATTTTAAGTAGTTTGAGATAATTCCTAATTATGTGGGTAATTGGTTAATTACCGGGTAACGGGATATTGCCTAATTACCTAATAAGTGAATAAAGATTTAAAAAAAAACCCTACCCTACCCCACGTGGCAACAAGCCACTTACAAAAAAAGACTCATGGCCACATTTGGTTAGGTGGCAACATAGGATAATGATATCAAGATTCATCTACGCTTTCTTCCTACATCAAAAGAGTCAATTATTTATCACTTTTGTGGACTCCTCTTGCCTCAGCACCCAAGTTCCGATCTTTCAAGACATGTAGTCTTCTTTTTCTTGAATTCCCCTGTAAACACAAGATTTACTGGATAATGCCTTTTCCCTGGGAAGTATAAGATAACAATTCTTTAGAAACCCGAACACTAGTTTTGCATAGTTTATGAAGTGCTAAAGCATAAAATTTATAGTTGCATAGTTTAGCAAAACCAAAATTGAATTTGCGATTCTAAGGGAGTACGGTGCTACCTTTTCCAAGAATATCATACAGAGTTTTTCCCTACTCCATGTATGTTAAGGCTATCCCTTCTTTCTTTTTGGCATGATCCAAATTATATAGAAGAAACGAGCAAACGCACAGTTTTCATAAATGACTCTATTCATAGAAATACTAGGGGTCTCTGTGTTCTTGATTCCCCATGTGACATATTATTATATCTTTTGTTCATGGTTCTCAGAATAATACGCAGTTGAAAAAGTTTATCCGGAAGGAATACTGAGATTATTGCATATTTTTCAGGCACTTCATTCATTTATACATATGCATTGACCCATGACCAGATGGCGTTATATACCCGTATTTATATTTATATGGGTTTTGGGAAAAAGGTTACGGCGTTATATACGCACTACCACCTGATCAGTTGGTATATGTTGATGATGTTGCCCACAGTGGCCGA